ATATATAGATCACAAAATGTATATTGTGTATTTTCTTTCATCATATGTGAAATATCTGCTGAAAGACTGTGTGTGAAAAAGCCCATCACATGACATTCGATTAAACATATACAGATCATGCAAAAAAAAACGTTTTCTTTTTACTAAATAAGAAAATTCAAATCATCTAATACATTTTTCAAGCGTTTATTCAAAGATATGCTTGGTTATAAGAGAGTGAGAGGAGTTATTATGGATAAAAGCAAAAAAAAAGAAAAATAACAAAAAAAGAAGAGAAAAAGTTTGTTGAAGTGTCTGTTTTTGTTCATTAATCATTGTAGTGTAGAGCTAATGATAACCGCTGTCAGTCGACGATGAACCACTATAGCTACTGTTACTACTCATCGATTCTGGTGTTGGGTAACCGGTGCTACTCGACGATGAACTACCACTATGGCCCCAATCAAGATTCACACTTGGAGACCACGATGATTGAGAGGTCGGCCCACCTGCGTTGGCCATGACAGATCCACCATTAAAGCCAACGGGGGTAAAATCTGATGATGATGAGCTGTTACTTGACATGTTCGGACTATTAACTTCTGCTTTTTTATGTTGCGTATGTGTGTATTTTAATTATTAATATCTACAAGTAAATTAATTCTCAATCTTTCTTTTATATAAGATTCATGGTAAAAATGAGATTGATTATATAAACGCGAAACTATACTTACGACTATCACTTTGATCTAGCTTAACCTACCGTCAAAGTGAACGGAAAAATTTAACAAAAAATTATCTTGATCAATTTTTTTTCTATAACTCTAGAATACAGTGAAAAATTATTCGTATCTTTGAACTCGTTTGAGATATTGATAAGACGATTCAATGCACAAAATTTGATCACAATCGATTTGTATACTGCAAAAACTCAAGTGGAAATTTTCTCTTTTACGACGTGATAATATTTCACATTCTGTCTGAAATTATTATTTTGATTATTTCTTTCTGTTCTTTTGTGATCTATGTAC